GGAGGAGCTGGGTGGACAGCTCCATCAACTGGAATCCCTGGTTGATACCGATGCCCGTGTTAAAATCAGGAGATGAGCTTCACCCTGCAACTTTCCTCTGCAGTTAATACTGTGCTGTAAAGTGGAACTCACTCTTTGCCAAGGGTGTGCACTGACACCATTCATTAGATCCTAGAGTCTAATGATGCGTCATAGCTAAATTTATCTTGCCGTTAAATTAAGTCATGCATTTCTATGGTTTTTACTTTCTGTCTCCTACACCGAATAAAGCAGTTTGTGTTTTATCGTACAGTTCTGCACTGTGGTCTTCAAATGGGCTCAAGGTTTCTTAATGAATTGTAAAACCACCGCTGGCAGGAAGTGTCTGCTTATTTATAGAAATAGTTAACCAAGTCCCTACTCTGTACTAGCAGCCCTTTGAACCTGTGGCTGTTTTTCCACTCCACTGCACACCATTTGCAAAAGAAACTATTCCTAATGGTTAAATGATACCCAAAAGATATGGATTTGAAGGAACGTATTACAATGTCATTTTCAAGAATTAGTTACATAGTGTAACTTTTTATGCCATCACTCATAAACCAAAGATTCCAGCTGCACACAATTCATAGCTCTTGCAGTACAAAGGTTAAGTCATAATGGTGTTTCACAAGACGTACAGTTAGACAAATGTTTATTTTTTCTAAAAGTTAATTAAATGTTAAAGCTACATCTTGCTCAGAATTATAATACAATTCAACGTAATTGAAGGCAATAAGTTTCAACCAATTTCCAGTCAACTAATACGTACTAGTAATACTGATCTATGCGGTCTTAGACGTATATCATTCATTCCAATTTCATTCATCAATGAATTGGAAAGATAACGTTATCTTGCTATCATTGAATCACAGCAGTCCAAGTGATTTTTAGCAATACTACCTAACAGGAAATCGTTATTTTAGATGTAAAATCTTTTTTTAAATGTAGGACGTGGTGGGCACCGGTTAAAATCAACAGCATACATTTAAAATAAAAGTCAATGTTTAATAGCAGTGCGTCGTGACTTAAAATCCCACTTTACCTGCAAGTTCATTGCAAAGTATTTTTACAGTATGCGTAAGGGTAGTCAACTGCACCTTTTAAAGGCTGTCCTTAACGATTTCTCCATTCATTTTAGAAACAAACCATTCATTAGGTTAGGGGCCCTACCTCCTGCGGGTGCTTCTTCCAACTTTCCGTGTGTCAGAAATTCAGACTACTACTCCTAAAATCTGCTTTAAACTTTGAATTAAAGTTTCACTTCAGCAAGAACGCATCGTGAGACCTAACTCGAGACGTAATATTTTTTGCCTCCGTATCTCAAAAGCTAATGGCAAACGCCTTCAGGCATTCCTGCATCTAGTTACCAGCCACAACCTTTGTACCTCCGATTTTCCTACCCAGTTATTTAACTCGAGTGCAGCTCTCCTTGGTGTCAGGAGGCCCTGCTCCTCCATATTTTATCGTCTCAGGTAGATTCATACACGCGTCCGTATCAGTAGCGGTGTAAGTTTCCAAGTTGTCAAGCTTCCCATATCCAAAACCTCTTAAGAAAATCAGAGAGCAAATCAAGTGCCATTTCTTCGGATTACTCTTCACAGCCCAGAAAAAGCTAGGATCCGAGCATTTACTCAAGTTCACGCTTAATAAAACGGTTCTTTTTTTTTTTTTGCTACCGATAACCCAAATACAAATGATGATAAAGGAAAAGAGGATGGATCTAGGAAAAAAACAAGTCAAGCGACCGACAGACACATTTACACTAGTTTTATCTGTATTTACTGCCCGGCAATATTATCAGCGGTGCAATTAATATAACTCACGCTGCAAGATATGCAAATTCACCAAGTAAAGAAATCCCACGCTTGGATTTGTAAGCCACAGGATTTTCAGAATCCGGGTCGCTGTGCTTGTGGGACTGGAAGGGAGTTTAAATGAAGTGGCAGCTCTTCCTGTGTTTTGACAGCCTCCATTAGCATCAGCATTACCGGCGAGCCTTTCCTTCTACTTTAATGTTTCAAAGCCGGAGTGCGACAGAACTGAACGACATCCCCCCCATCATCCAAAACGCTCAATCAGGCAGAAAGTTGTACAGGAACTTACTCTGTCCCGATTTTCCGAACGTCCTCCGGGGCGATTTCCTCTTCTTCTTCTTCTTGTGCACACAGAAAGTTCAAGTTTCCCTAAGTGATCCCTAGCCGCAGATCCCGGCTCCGGTCTCCCCGTGCTCCTCTTCCTGCTGCAGCCCCGGCTCTCCAATTCGCTGGGAAAGACGTCCTGGGAAATGGCCGTGACGTCACTGGAAGAGGCGCAGCCGCGGCCGGCCGAGAGGGGGCGCTGCAGACGGGTGACTTCGTGAGCCGCCTGTGTCGGGGCGGCTGGAGATGAGGCGTGACTTTTTTAGTTTCTTTTTTTTATTATTATTATTGTAACAGCAGTGATGTATCTATAATACGCACAAGAGTACATATAACACCATCAGTTGCATCTTACAAAAAAGGTTAAATGAGGCAAATAAAGATAAGGTACACACAGCTTTCATATTCTTATATTTTTGCTAGTTGATCCAAATAATATGTACTGTGTACGTAAATGTGGCTTTTGAGTGAAAAGGCGGTAATTGACTTTTGGGTCTTTTTATGGTTGCTTATTTTTTTATTATAGTTCTTGTGTGCGACTCTCTCCTAATGCCTTCGGGTCAGAAATGTAAAGATCACTTTTTCAAGAAGTTCTAGAGTTAACCGAGCGGAGCCAAACACATCGAGCACTGAAGTTAGTATTATAGTAAGCATACCATGTTGGACTAGCGTTTTTTAAAAAATGAGTTTTTTAATGCCGTGGTGGAATAATATGTAGCTTATTGCCCCCGTGTCAGTGGCGCTTTATTAAACCGGACCACTGGTTTCCATCGGTTTGTATCGTCATGTGGAGCTGCAGCTCCCCAGAGACGCTCCAGCTGACATCTGCCGGTGTAGTTCAAGTCACCTGGCAGCAGAAGTCCTTCGGGAAGTGTAACCTGTCGGGATCACATATACCTTGAGTGAAACTTAGTCAGATGCCGTGTCTGGCGGACCGTGCAACACCTCTTGGTTAACTCGTTAAAAGCCTTTTTGTTCGTTCCCTAAACCTGCAGCTGACGAGACACGGACCCCATAAATGATAACTGCTTTTAATGATAAAACGTTTGGATGATTAATCCAATCTGCGTGAAAGAATGAAGCTCACAATTCCAGTTGCACTGTATTGACGTGTTAATGAGCCGTTTGTTAGTTGCACTTTATCAAATATAAGAAGCGAAATGAGTGCGAAGTGGTGTTGTTTTTAAAAGACGGAACCTGCGCCTGGCATCTGGAAGATTCTGGAAAGACGAGGACCCGGAATAGAAACATTAAACCCTTCATCACAATGCAAATTGCGCACCCAAGTGTTGATGGTAGATTCCCATTACATAGGAGCAAAAAAGACTCTATGATTCAAAAGGTGATGTCACGTACTGTATTTATAATGTGTGTTAGCCTTGCTGATTTACAGCAGTGGGGCCCCAAGCTGAATTCCAGTCTTGGGGTGCTGTCTGTGTGGAGCTTGTATGTGCTCTGCATGTTTGTTTCCCCGTGTGGGCTCTGGTTTCCTCCCACAGTCCAAAAACATTCTGGTGGGTTAATTGGCTTCTGTAAATTGGCCCTGTTTTGAGCGAGCGTGTCTGTCTGTATGCCCTGTGATGGAGTGGTGCCTTATGCCCATTGCTTGACAGGACACACTCTGGCTTCTCTGCAGCCCTGAGTTGGATAAAGTGGTTAGGGAAATGGACAGGAGGACTGATGGGCAGGGGAAGGCCTTAATTTAATCAAGGTTTAGAATTTGCAGAGGAAACTTAAACCTTGTGTCAGGTAACAAAAAAGTATAAAGCACACAAGAAAGTAAATAAAAACATTAAATAACAGAATATAATTAACACAAATGCTGTGAATATTATTGTAACCTTTTTAAGTTTTAATAAGTGATAAGTCTTAAAGGTTGTTTCTAAGTTATTAATTGCAAAGAAAACACAAACGAAGCACTTTAAGTAGCAGATTTCATTTGTGTTTAAGATTAATTAGAAGTTTGCTACTTTATATTATTAAATATATTCCAATAAAGGTCTCAGTTATCCATAGGAACAGATTCAAAGTGAATGGATATTATAAGCTTGTACCTATTACAAATAATAATGTTAAACTTATATCTTGTAATACAAAAAAACAGTTATTAATTATCGTTTATGTTGCGTTGGGGGGTAGAATTCATTAGTTCTTGTGTTTGAACACTTTGAGAGTGTTGCTAATACTATCAAGCAGACATCAACAGTTTAGCAAAAACATACAAGCAGTTCAAAGAAAAATTAAATATCCACTTCGAGGAAATTTATGTTTCTGCTGTTGGGAGTTTTTCCAATACAGAGACGGCATCCTTCAGAGAGCACTTGAAGTGGAAATGTAAGGTGAGGTAGATTTTAACATCACCATGGTTTCCACAAGAATACAACACATGCCAATCTATTGTTCATCAATTTTTAACTATCCAGTAACATAAAACTTTTTAAGTATTTTTAAAGGAGACATTTTATCCCAGGTTGAAAGGCAATACAGGGTGAGCACATCTAATTAGCTGGACACCTGATACATTAAGCCTGGCAACTGTATCATTTTTCTGTGTTGGAACAATGAGGCAAAAACTTGTTTCTTGAAATGTTTACATGTTATTTTATTTCATTATGTTTAATCTGCTGGGTCTAAACCTCTGAGTCACACTTCATGTAAATGCTGGAAGACGTTTCAGAAACTGGATGGTACCTCATTCCATTTGATTATGATTTGATTCGTTTTAGTCATGTGGAGAATTATCTTGACATAATGCCATTTCTGTACAAAGATGTTGAAAACGTAATTACGTATGTGTTTTAAGGTTTCATGAAATACTGCTTTCTTCAGATTTATTCTTTATACATTTACCTATGCCACATTGAAGAGGGTTTTTTTGTGAGTGTTTTTGCTTGGTTTTCATTAACTGCATACACATAAATAAATTGAGAGTTTAAAATTTAATTTGCTTTGCAGCAACAGCAGCTGCCATGTGTGAAATAAGCAGCACAATGTAAGACACTATCAGCGGCAAACCATTAGAGCTACAATAAATACCCAATACTTAATAATAATAATTGTAAATTACTTTTCACTGTAAATGTAATCACATTTTAAATATCTAAATGTGCAAATATTTTAAGAGCCTACTTTCTTGGGGTCATCAAAACCACACATGCTGGAAAATCATACCATGCTAATGCCATTGTGCTAGTCCATTATAGGTCAAGTAACAAGACAGAATGAACCATTAAATGTGTTAATCTGTCACACGAATCTTGATACTCATCGCTTTTACGTTTTTGCTTTTATTTTCCGGACAGTTCTTGGAATTCCTTGAAATAACTGTGGAACTGTGTAGAATGAGTAGCGTCTCTTTGGTCCTCCCTGTGCTTGCCTGCCCATCGGGTCACCCACAGCAGATTGGCCATCTCCTTGTATCAGCCAGCCTAGTTTCCAGTTCGTTCCATTCTATCCAAGGTCTTTCCTGATCACGGGGGATCGTCTTCTGCCAAGAAGTTCTAGCCCTGGACAGAGCCCTCCCTCTTCTTCATCTTGCACTTCCTGGCCTCCATCTGCGGGCTGATTTCAACAGTCTGATCACTGATGTCTTCTCTTACAGATTAACCGTGAAAGTGCACTTTGTTCAGTGATTTTCCTGACTTCACCATTTTCCTGGCATCATTTGGGTGCTCTTAGTTCCTTAGCGAGCAAGGTCAAAGCTAATCGCTATCCGGCAGCCATGTCACCCTGCAACTCACAACTGACGACCCCCTGAAGCTCGGCAGGTGTGAGCCTGGCCAGCACCTGAATGGGAGACCCCCTGGGAAAAACTAAGGCTGCTGCTGGAGGAGGAGTTAGTGGGACCAGTAGGGGGCGCTCACCCTGCGGTCTGTGTGGGTCCTTATGCGCCAGAATAGTCACAGGGACACTATACTGTAAAAAGGTGCCATATTTCAGATGAGCTGTAAAACTGAGGCCCTCTCTGTGGTTATTTAAAATCCCAGGGCCTTTCTAAAAAAAGAGTAAGTATGTTACCCTCGTGTCCTGGTGGTGGAGGGGAGTCCCCCTTACCTGTAAAGTGCTTTGAGTGGAGTGTCCAGAAAAGTGGTATACAAGTGTAAGGAATTATTATTACCAATAATAATGGCTAATTGTTACAAAGTGATCATCTTCACCCCCTATTGCAGCAGCTCTTCCGTGCTGAGAGAAGTCTCCCCCAGAATGACAGTGCCCTCATGTTAGCCATATGTCATGACCTTCTCAGTCGCCAAATCTGAACTCAATCAAGCATTTTTATCATCTGGAACAGCACTCGTGAGGGTGTATTCCACTTCTATCAACCAGGTAGGAGAATGTTATCACTTCCCTCCTGCAGAATTCCAGATGCTGGAAGACTCTCTGCCATGGAGCATACAGGCTGTACTGGCCACACATGGTGGCCCAACACCCTATTAATTGACCTTACATTGGGGTGTCCATTTTGTTGTCCAGTACCTACTGTACATACATACATAAATATATATATTTACAGAAAAGTTAAACTTTCTAGGAACACCTTTACTTATGCCATGGCTAAATCACACTGCTCAGTTTGACCAAGCGTTATTTTGAATAACCTTTCTATAATTTTGCACTTGGTTTTGAACCGGCACTTAAAAGAATTTAGATAGGTTACCTACATTCTACAAACACTATTCATCCATGCAGATTTTAACTGAAGTTATCGTTAAACATTTGTATTCAGGTTTCATTATCATGTCGCTTTCTTATATAACCCAAAACCTTCTGAAGGAAGTCATGGATTACTCTGTTTTTCCTTACATTTGGGATGTCTAAACCTATGATGTACAATGTTGTACAATGTTGTGTTATGTCCTAAACATCCTGGCTAACCAAATGTGAATTTATTAAATATTCTTAATGGGGAGATCTAGGGCATGCTTGGAGATTTCTAAAACTAGGCCACAACCATTGGGAAATTCAGCTAACACACTTTAAGGAGCCAATCCTGTGCTGTTAGGCTAACTGTTGTCCAGTGAAATATGAAAGCGTTCAGTTTTATCAGCGCCATGAATGTCTTTAATATCACTGACCTCTTGGGCTTGCTATTTATATTATACCTTCTAATCAAAAGTATTGTTCTTATTGTGTGGAGTTCGTACAGGTTTTCAATTTACAGTTTAAGTAAGGTATGGGGCAGAAAGGGGACGACTTTCAGTTAGCATTATAGTCTTGCTATCCACAGAATTATCTGAATGGTCAGAAAAATGGACACTGACAAATACTGAAGTTAATCAGTGTAAGCTGAAAGATGAAAAATGTTTCTATACACTAACATTTATATGACATGCACCCAATCATTCTTGATCTTAATAAGACCTCTCAGCATTTTGAAAACGGCTCCAATGTGTACAGAGTACATTGTTTGGAAACTACTGTATATTTAAACTAGAATTAATGGATGCACATGATGTTGCGTAGCATTCAAATAAAGAACAAAGGAATTGTAGGTCACAGCACAGACAGGCACTGGAGTGCAGTGATCCCACTGAAACCTTTTAAATATTTACACGGTTTTGTTTTAAGGCAGCTGTCCTTTTCTAACATCTAAAGTAAGGCGAGGGACGTGAGGTCATACAGTCTACAAGAATTCACCTGGAAAAAAACAAAAATTAAGTATGGCTATACAACTTCTGTAGAACTACAAACAAAATAACTTTTAATCTATTCTCTTTCCATTTCTTCATTAGCCCACACTGAGTTCACATTTCAAGCTCCTAAAACTTTCTGCCTTCATCTTACGGACTTTACAAATAAAAAAACTAAACAAGAATTGCACGATTTGTTCTAAAATGAAAAAATAAGCAGGAATGTTGTCAGGCTCAAATAAATTACTCCATTTGAACAATTGTAGGAATTGTAGTTAGAATACAGACAAGCCAGAGGAAGCCTCAATCTGTAGACAGCAATGCCATAACAGACAGGATCATGAACACTTTGCAAAAATTAGTAACTATGCAATGGATACTTAACTCTCAGCTTTTAAAGATGGAGTTTAAACACTTAATGTTGTAGCACCAAGTCTTCAGGTTTCTCCTGGCAGACAAATTTAAAAAACTTCATGCTGCCAGAACAGTTGTGGAAACTAAACTTCATCAGCTGGCGGCACATTTTGAAAGCAAGCTGCAATTTACAAGAGTAATTTTTAATTCCTTGCATTTATGGAGCACTTTTTATTCCAAAGACTCTCAAAGCAGTTTACATTGTATGTAGGATGTGTCCCACTGTATCTGTCTTTGAAATGCAGCACACATCTGGGAAAATCATGGCAGACATTATATACCCACTACACAGCAGATCAAATAGGGATGGGAGAAACGACTTCATCAGTTAATTAATGAATAATCAGTTGGGAGAGGCCCTATTTTACAAGCAACAAGCAGAATTCACCTAGGAAACCATTAAGACTTTTACTCTTGCAAAAATAAATTAGACCTCAATAAACTCAGTCACCACGTTGGGACGTATATTTTTGTAAATGCTGATCCAGAGGGAAGAATTCCACATACACCAAGACAAACCTGGTTTTCCCATCAGGAGGTTCTCTCATCCAAATACTGGCAGCCTTACCTAGCTACTGAGATCTGCAGAAGTACCAACATTTTAAAGGAGCAGTTTTGATTGGAGTACTTTGCACAAGGATACAATAACAGTAACCCACACAGGATTTGAACTCACAACCCACTTAGTCTATAGTCCAGAGCCCAAAACTATTCCACACTGCTATCCTAAACATCCTTCTTTACAGAAGCTGTCCAAGGCCAGATTCGATCCCAGGTACCCAAAGCAGTGATAATGCAGCGATGCAGGGCTAATTGATGCAATGCAACAGCAAAGTACAGTTTGGGCACAGCTTTGCTAATCCTCAGACATGAACTGTACAGGACACGTTGTACACAACTGTTGCTCTGGCAGGGAATACACCAGCGAGAAACCTCTGGTGTGCTGTGAGGTTCTGGCAATTCAGTTGGGAAACTTGTGAACGTGAATTCAGAATTCACAAACCTACAGCTGGAATGGGATCCGTATATAGATTAGGCCAGACAAGACCTTTCATATTGTGTGTACGTAACCATCCTTTGTCGATATGGATGTAGGCTTTCGATTGTCGCGCGGGAATGCCCACTACTTTCAACCAAGATAGAGCTTCTTGGAAGAAAGAACCTGGCTACAATTACCTGGTAAATATTGGATATTGGAAACAGTAGGTCTGAAAGTTTTCTCGACATGAGCTTAATAATTTTTCAATTTTCTTTAATTTTCATATAATTCGTTCACAACAAATTGTATCAACTGTTACTGCAATCATGTTTTTTTTTTTACCCTCTTTGATTCACCCTCAAAAGAGGCTTTTCCTGCAACCCAGCTATGAACTGAAAGCGTTAACATTCATGCACATGACTTCAAATAAGTTTTTGAAATTTTATTCAGTGTGCATCACAGATCTCCAGGTGTTGGATGTGGATTTACAGCTGCCTCCCAAAACACTTGTTTCACAGCCTATAGCAGCATTATTCACTTGTGTACTGTCCCTAGGAGTTGCCACTATACCAGTAGCCTTAAATGTTTTAATAATAGATGCTGTAGTAGCTATCTAATATGTTTACTATGATTACACTATTACTGTTAGAATTACTGTTGGTTAATATGTTACATACATCCAATATGTCTGCTGTGTGACGTTTTCTATTTCATGACTGGCTAAATAGGGAAGGCTCTGTACTTTTTTCAACATCCTGCAACACAAATTGTATAGATGTCTCCGACACAACAGGTCATCCCAATTCTCTGTAACATGTTGGCACTCATCTGGCACAGTTCCAGGTGTGCTATCAGGGCTCTTACACCAAGGACAGACAAATCAGTTCAGTACCCCTGTCCATTTCAGAAGAGAGTAAAGTCAGTCTGCTTGTCTTTCAGAAGGTGACTGTAGCCCAATCAGTACTAAGATATCTCACATGCTTAATCAGTGCTTGAAGTCCATAGGAAAAGGTGGAATAACAGTTCAGTATACCACCTAGACAATACAAAACATCTTTACTCTGCTAGTAAGAACCCTACGAATACCTTAACAGTAATGCACAGAAAACATTTCATGGCTTACTAAAAATGTTTTCCGTATGCATTTTGAGATTAGAGATGAGGCTCAAAAAAGGGTCTTGATTAAAGTAAGCAAATTCAGAAAACACAATCATTTCTTGTTATTCTCAATGTGTAATTCCTTTTAAGCTGTAGAAAAATAAACTTCTGCAGTTAAATTTTGAGATAAATCATTCAGGAATAAGTTATTTCATGAAATGAAGTGAGGTAAAATTATAGAAAAAATAATAGTAGAACAGAAGCCAATACCAAGATGCTCCATTGTGCTAAAGCTCAGTTAAGCCCTGTTCAATATGCAAAAACATGATAATTCAGCAAAAGAACAAGAAGGCTCCACAGTCGAAACGTTGTGTTTCCTTTCGGCCTGCACATGCTGATGCACCTACCTACTTGATAATTCAGCTATTTTTATCTTTAATGTTACTCACGTTTACACAACACATACATATTGCAGCTCAACAAGAGGTTAATATGCAGTGTTTTCTGCAATGTTCATACAATTATAGAATACCCGGATAACCAACATCCTTAGTTATCTTTACAAAAAAGTTTGATCTTCTAAATGGAAAATAATTAAATGTATTAAATTTTAACTTATTTGTACTTGTGTATCTTGCTCTAAGTTGTACTTCACTACATATCCTATATCATTCCTGGCCTCATTTAATGCATGGTCTATCCAAAGAATTAACTTATAAAACAATACTTGGAGGATACTTGCGTCTGCAGGTCTTCATTCCAACGCAGATGTTAGCTGATTTAATTGGACCAGTTTAATGGCTTCTCCAAGCTCTTCAAAGTCCTGCTACTTCAAAGACACTGAACACCTGCAGACACACTGTGATGAGACCCGACACTTCAAACATTTGCTTTAGATTCAATGGTGATTTATAAAACAAAAACCAACATATAGCCATATTAAATGGCACACATTTGTATCTTTCTTCTTTGAAACAGTTCAGTTTGCACTGACGTTGGATATGAAATGAACTTTTTTTTTTAAATAAGACATTTCAGACAATGTTTACATACAACATTTGTTAAATTAATTGCTCAAAGATGGGAGAAAGGGTATGGTCCATAAACATTTATTTTAATAATAACAATACTTCACTATATTCTATGACCATAATATCTAACAAGTGAAAAACTAATTACAAAGGCTTCACAAACTGCAAAATTAACATATGTACATACTTTATTTAATAAAATTTCAAATGTTTTTTGGAGGGAATAGGACAAGATGGATAAAAAAAATCCAGCAGCGTACAATCATGAGTATTCCCACAGTTTGCAGAAGCACTGTGCTGAGGTGGGAAGCAAGGGCCGGTTCGTGGTTTAGCACAGCACAAACAAAACAGGCCTCAGGAGTCAGAAATGGGGTTCTGTAGAACTGATCTGCCAGGGATTTCAGCTTCAGTGTCTTGGTGCCCTTTCTTGTCTGCTTGCTGCTGACTCTGGATTTTGAGAATGAGCTCCTTAATCTCCTCACGCTTTGTCTTCATCCGTTGCTGTGGAAACCAGTCAGTCAGGTGCATAGGAAGATGAAAACTCGGGAGTGGATTCTAAAAGGTAGATAAAAAAAATAGAAATTGTGCTGTCAGTAACTTACAACGATGAGGGTTTGGGCTTGAAAGGTATCGGACACATGGACTGTGCCAGTTACCTCCAACCTACCTCAAAGAAACTCTCCACATACTGAAGGATGTATACACCGCAGTCACTGAAGTTGTCCTGCTGTGGGACACGGGGACTGGAGCCTTTCATGACATCTTTACCAAAACTCCTTTTGTTTCCTTTTCTCACCTCCCATTCCACTTCCAGGTATCTGTTCACAATTAACATAATTAACAAAGTCTGTACACCGTTCAGGTTTTTACAATGAGAGAGGATAAAACACTAAAAAAAAAACTTACTCCCGTAGTGTTTTCACCACAGTGGACCGGGTAGGGCCTCGCAAGGAATCCATGATAAGAATGCAAGGTCTGTGAAATACACACACACGTCAAGATAAACAGACATATGTAAGTTAAGATACACCTTGACAGTTACTCTGTTGAAGATTAGATAAATGGCAGGTTTTAAACAAATACTTGATTGTTACTAGACTGTACTAGATTGTAATCAACATAACAGTGATGCACTCATTTCATTCAATTCTTACACTGATGGAGAACACAAATAGTACCACAGTCCCCATTAAAGTGAAGTACGGATGAAGACTTTGCAGGCTAGAACAAAGCCAATGACATTAGCGCCATCTAGCGATAGAGGATGGGAGAACTTTCCCAAAATAATGCAATGTTTTGCCAATATTTTTCATTTAACAAGAGCACTGTTTTCTCATTGCTTCTGCCCTTTCAGTTTGACTCCATATGAATAAGAACAACACTGCTCTGTTCTTCCACAGGGTTTACACAAGAGTCAAAATGGTGACCTTTCGTTTTGAAATGTGTAATATGCATTTGTATAAACAACTGATTTCAGTGAGTGCTCATTTGATTCTTTCAAATTGAGTACCGCAAATCCCAAACATCCCCGAATAATGCATTTAGCACTAACTGTTTGCAAATGGTAGGTTTCTGATTCCACTGCCCGCTCTCTGAAGAGGTCAACGTGTCATCTGCCAAAGTCCCGTCCTCACTGCTTTCGTCCTGTAGACCGACAGATGAAAGAAAGTCTTTTTACTTCGGATGGGCATGGAAAAACACTTCAGCTGTTAACAACTCACACAACAACCACGTCCATTCTTTCTGATTCCACGTATGGTAGTTGTGTTGCTTCATTAAAATCATTCAATTTGGACCTGCAGCTATAAACTTTGAATTGTTTTGTCTCTACAGCCAGAATATTGTGTATTTCATATTTTAGTTCACAGTTTGCAGCTTCTTTTGCAGGTGCAGCTGTTCTTCCTTTATAGCTTCCCCTCTAGCTTCACAGCTGATCAATTCATTGTTTGTTTTTCCTGAATTGTGTGAAACATACTGTCATGCTTTATGCATTTTGGTAAATGTTTTAAACATTTTAAAAATCTAAGACCTGTATTTTGCTGTTAGTATTTACTGCTCATTTCATGAAGTCATCTAACACCCAATGGCCCTGTGTGAAAAAATTAACACCCCCCTATTTCAATCAGTTCAATTAAGGGAACAGCTAGGACCAGCTGTGTGAATATTAAACAATCAGTGCTGATTTGGGCCAACCCTGCTCAAAATAAAACTCCCAGACTTTGGCTCCCATCATCACAGTGAACTTATCACCACACAGAATCTAAAAGCGTGTCATGCCCCAATCCAAAGACATTCCTGAAGACCTTTGAAAACCGGTACTGATGCCTATCGGTCTGGAAAATGTTACAAAATCTCAAATCTCAAAACCTCAGGGACTCCACTGATCCACAGTCTCGAAATAAAGAAGATTTTGGACAATAGTCAATCTTCCCAAGAGCAGCTGTCCTGCCAAGATCATTCCAAGAGAGCATCATGAAATTGTCCAGGAAATCGCAAAGAACACCAGAACAACATTCTGGGATCTGCAGTCCTCTCTTGCCCTGGTTAAATTCAGTGTTCTTGTCCTCGCCATTAGAAAAGCACTGGATAAAAACAGGATTAATGGGAGAGTAGCAAGGTGGGTGTTCCTTTCACTAAGAGGAACACTGATGTTTGCCTCAAGTATAATGCCTGGATGACTCTTCAGACCTCTGGGGAATGTTCTATGGACAGATAAGTCAAAAGTCTGGCAAAAACCATGCACTGCATTTCACAAGAAGGCAAATAAGAACCTCAGAACAGCCAAGCATGGTGGTGGTAAGTATCATGATTTGTGGATTCTTTACAGCCTCAGGACCTGGAAAACTTGCCTGCAGTAAAGGAAGCATTAATTCTGCGATGTATCTGAGAATTCTACAGGAGAATATCAGGTCATTTGTCTGTCAGTTAAAGCTTAAGCACAAATGGGTCATGCAGCAAGACAATGATCCCTAACATACAAGCAAGTCAACAAGAGAATGGATGAAGAAGAAATTCATTGTTCTGGAATAGCCAAATCAAAGCCCAGATGTTAATCCCATTTAACTTTTGTGGCAGGACCGAATGCACTTCATGCTAGAAAACCCAGAAAAGTTACTGATTTTACACATTTTGTCATAGATGAACGGCCAGGATTCCTACACTGTAATGAGAGACTGATTACCAATTAGATTAAACATATGGTTCCAGTTATTGTAGCTAAAGGTGATGTAACCAGTTACCGAATCTAAGGGGGTGTTAACCTTTTCACACAAGGACATTGGATGCTGGATGACTTTGTGAAATAAATGGAACAAGCACCAAATGTTATTTGTTTACTCCCTTTATTTATCACTAGGACACAAATGGAGCTCTGCTAAAATTCATTGGAAAAATATGCAAGTTCAGAAAATTTGAAAGTGGGAGAATACTTTTCATGGAGTTTATGCATATATAAAGAAACCTCATCCTGAATCCTACAGTGGAACTGTAATGAGGCAGACACACTTCACTGGTGTTTATATTTATCTCCCATTACCTTACAAAATCTGAAAGGGAGATTTTACACAGGTTAGTTAAGCTTTCTGGCAATAAAATATGCGCCTAAAATGTAAGAAAATGTTCATTTCAGAACAAAAACTACTTTGTTCTTGTATAGACCTTAAAGGTATACAAAAAATTCAAACATTGTTTTGATTTTTTACATACCAGTATATACCTTTTGAAAAACAAATATCGCCAGTTTTTGGGACGAACTAACAAACTGTTTTTCAGGAAATGTTTTATCATTCCGTGTGAAAGCAGCATTTACCAGACTTGAGTCTTGATCATCTGAAAAGGTGAATGTGTCATCATCCCTGTTCTTTGAATTACCATAGCATAGGCGTATTCTCTGCAAACCACCTACACAGAATGAAGAAGAAACACACCTGAGCACATATTTTAAATAAGAACAAAGTTATACATCACAATAATATACATATGAAGCATTTCAAGGTGAAATTAGAAGCCACTATTTCTAAATGGTAAACTTTGCATAACAGTTTGCCAGGGAATTAGAATTCAGAATTTTAGGAAACATGGTGCCCTTTCAGCTTTTTAAATCAACCCATTTTTACCAAACAAATTAAGCCAGAACAACAAGCCAGAAGTGTGGTCACTGAAGCAGGCAGTTACTTCAATTTATAGTATAGTTTGTAAAAAACACAAATACACTATTACTCTCAAGTACCATAGCTGGCTATTCCTTACATAATTTAACCTACTAATTTACTCTATTAGTGGTCAGTACTAAAGTGAATGAAATAGTCCATGAGTTCCAAGTTCCACCCTTGCCACAGTGATGAGAATAATTAAACCAGAAGGAGGGAATTTCTCGTACCCTCAGCACATGCTCACCTATACACTGCTGTGGAGCCTTTTGCTTGTCAGCCCGAAAACCATTCACTCCTGTCGTGGTGCTGCTCTGCGTGTTCCTAAATTCGTGCGTGTTTGCTCTTTCATTGTCTTTCACGCTGTTAGAAGGGACTGCCACTCCTTTGACCTGGTCTGTATTACAGTCACTCTCGGAAGACTCTTCAGTAGTGCTGACGATAAGGGCTTTAGTCACGGGGCACTTCGAAGCCTGAAACGCAGGACTGGAAGGGAACCTTTCTGTTGAGTTTTCTACTTCCTCTGCGGCAGAGGAAAGACTCTCTTCTGCTGTGGAACTGTTAACCAGGATGGACTCTGAGGTACGGTACAAAGGGTTTGGTTCAAACTGGGGTCCATCCAAACCAGGGAAGCAAATCACTGCTAGAAACCAATGAGCTCTACAAGATACAAGAAAAGCAATGATGATGCATTTTGCATACGATTTAATTTTCACACTAGAGATCAAAACATTTGCATTTATTTTAGAATACAGTTGTAAGATTTGTTGCATTTTATATTAGAAATGGACAATATGATCATAATTTGTCATTTATCTTAATTGGATAACTTATTTAAATGTAGGTATGTGAGACTAAGTATTCACTGACCTGTTCATTTTTAAAATTTTCTTTTGTTTTAAAGTATTGATTTTAGGAAAAATCTCAATATTACAATAAGTAGCTTTCCGATAATAATTTCCTTAAAACTTACACAAAAATAATCTGCCTGGTAAAATGATTTAACATTAATCACAATAGCTAATAACCTGTTGGGTTAAAGTTCTAAGATTACTTCCCAGTACTTATTTCACAGTATGTCTGAAATGTATAGTACTTACGATTCATTTATAGGAACAAAAATGAAATCCTTCTGAAAAAGATCCACATGGCGTGTCCAGGTTTTTACCCTATTGTGCCTCCTCTTTTGTATTCTAGAACATAAGGAGAATGACACATAAACCTTCTGGAGACAATCTGGGAGACATACAGACAAAATATAAAGTGCTACTTTAAATGTAGTGAAAAAATAACTTACGGTAAATTGGTAGGGTCCACGACACTTCTCCTTTCCCTCTGATTTAGTCGCTTGTAAAAGAATGAGCTGAAAACATGACTTCTTTGGGCATCTGCCTTTTTTAACTTTTCAAGGACCAAATATCTAAAAGGACCAAAACAATATTAAGAGCAGGCCAACCATGCTATGACTCTAAATGTTTACAAAATCCTAAAATTCTAAAGCTCACTCATCTTGTTTTCTATACATTAACAATATAGATCAGACGTAAAATAACCTTTTGCCACTAAATGATCATTCAGTGCATGAAAACTACACATGAACCACTAAAATAATCTCCTAATATTCAAGGTACTGAACTCTTACTTCACTTTGATTGATTTTTAAAGCTTTTTATAAAAACTCGGAAGCTTTTACATTATCTTAATTTAAAACGACAGCAATCATGCACCTCCTTCTTCTGGGCAACATAAGAAAACCTGAAACCATGTATTTAATCATTTGACTGATGTTTGTATCCAACATTATTTGTATTCATTCATTAAGGGTAGGCTTTATACTGAATAAACTGGAGTGAAATAGCTTTCTGAAGTTTACAACAGCAGAGGCCCATTTAAGATCTGAACCCACAGCCTCACAATTTTAAGTTGATAGCCCCAATAACAACCTCACACTGCTGCCACACCTAATAATCCTAAAAGGAGAACACAAAGCTGAACTCCTCACCCAACCTTTTGGTTTTATTACAAAAACACTTGCTATACTAGAGACTAGCAACAATATATTAGCAGTATCTAAAAAAGTAAAAGAGAATAGTTTCAAGCCTGTTTTCCTACAGAGGGCAGGGATGGATAACATTACTTTTCATGAAGACCTACTAATTTTACATAAAAATGCACACTTATTTAAAAATAAAATCTTTCCAATTCTAATTAGCAGCATACTCATATTACCCATAATATTACTCAAATTACACAGACAGATACAAACCCAGTGACATTAATAAAATAACAAAGCTCTTTGAAACCGATGGAAACTGTTTTAGCAGATATTTTTTGTTCCCAGAGGTGGGACCTGGTTGTAATCCGATGCACAAAACATACTTATATCCCTCAGCTTATATCCCTATTGCTGTAAACTGAAAATTCTTTAATGTTTTCAGGCTTAAAATCACCAGTATGTTTAAAATAATCATCCTTCCAGCATTTCAACCTTATAATGTAATGAAAAACTGACCAGTAATTCAATCAAAGTGTACAAGATAGTTGCAGAAAACAGAATTTGGGAAGCCAACCTACTTTAAATAAAAGTCTATGATGACATCATTTAAAAACTCCCCCTCATTCAGGCAGTGAAGGTCCTCATTTGTGACAGAAATCCCCCCTTTGGCTGGGGCCGGAGGATACACAATTAATCTGAAACACACCAACAAAAACATTATTGAAAACCATACGTATAGTAATGGATTGGATATAGTTTGAGAGAGCATTAAAAAAATCTTACTTTTCTATTGGACCTGTAAAGGTTGGGTGGAGCTCTGCCATTTCTTCGTCGTCATCAAAGTATCTCTGCGCAGAAGCGTGGAGTCGTGTTGACACAGGCACACGTGGACTGGATTCAGAACCCTGTCAGGAGAGAAAACGTTGACTAAGTTTCCTTCAACAGAGTACATTAAAGAAGTTGGCCAGATGCTCAGCTTATAATAAAGCTGGACTATTTCATCCCATCTAAAACCTCAATTACGCACAGCCTCACCCCACAAGCCAACTGCTAAACACAAGCTCAGTGCATGGTGACGGTTTTGTTTGGTTTAGCACAAACTACTTTAGCACAGGTTGAACTGCAGTTAGTGCACTGCTTTTCGTTCATTGCAATTGCAATTGAAAATTGATAAAAGTCTATAGAAAACAAAAGGCTGACGTCAAGTGAAGGAACAGTCTGTTTTTTGTAGAAGAGTCAAAATTTGAGTACAAATTTGTGGAAATAAATACTTTTTTAATGCCATTTAATGCTTTTGATTTGAATAGCTTATTAGCAACTGGCCTTAAGCTCTTACTTGAGATATTACGACTCAATTTGTGTTGTGTATAAGATTATGTTCAAAACCATGTTTGAAAACACCATTTTCAGAGAGCCAGATAGGAGGAACAGTACCATTCCTTAGCTAACTGAAAAGATGAAAAGACTCACTAATGCTTTTGTGTCATTCTTGCCTGAATACTGTGACAGCCAAACATATCCTCCTTCGCCCAGAGAAGCTAAAATTCTGGTCATTTTATTATTCTTATCTACAGTAAATGGTATTTACCTTTAATGGGTGGTTCACTCTTTTCTTTGCACAAGCATTGAACTTCTTATATGACTGCCTCAGTGCTTTGTTTTCCTTGTCATTTCTATTTTATTACCACTATATTCCTACTGAATGATTTTGTGTTTATGTGTTATTGTGCAGACACCCTGGATAAATACTCACTTTCATCAAATACTTAAGATCTGGGACAGAAATTGTTCCTAACATTTAAGCAGCAGTTCAAGCATGTATCCTGAGACCACTTAACACGAACAACTATTTTGTACAACTTAGCTAGTATGACCAAGTCAAATAAGCTGCCGTCAACATCACCCTCAACACCCTCTGTAGTACATTTTTACACATATACAGTATATATATATATTTCCGTAATTCAGTGGTCATAAAACCTTTCTAGTAATTTTGAAAACTCTACAAGTTAAGGATGTTGTATATCAGTGTCACTGGGTTCAACTCGCAACAGGCACCAAAATCCACAATAAACAAAGACAACAAATGTCCTAATCAACCCGTAAGGCAACAGGCATAGGTACAACAGGAAAAAGAACAACCTCCTTTCAATGCAACAGATTGCTTACCTTTTCCTTTGAAGCACTGTCTGGGCAGCTTTTAGTGAAACGAACTAGTCTGATATTGGCTTCATCAAATGGTATTTTGATCAAAAAGTCTTCGATATTGTTTGCTTTCCCAATTTCTTGTAGTATTTCCTCCAGAATAGCTTGTTCACGTAATGACAGCCCATTCTCAAAAATCAAGACAATGTATTTCTCATCAAGATCTGTAAAATTACAAAAAAAGGCTTTGCCAGCTGCATCCTTGACTGAATGTACGATACATACATACTAGGCATAAAGAGTAAAAGAAAATATCTTTAAATAATTTCATTCACCAAAATCAGAAACTACCAGTTCTTCCAATTTCCCATTTTTGAATATTACACAGTAGATTCTTGGAGGGTTGAATAAAGAACCAGAGATGCTCACATTGTGGAAGTGTTGTTATTGTGTGGCAAGATCATAGTAATATGCTACCTAATTAACACCAAACGACGCATGTATTGCATTTGACAACTGGAAATCTGAGTTGCTGTCTCTCAAGATGCAGTTTACATCTCTGTGTGTACAGAGCCATACGTTCACACAAGTATACAAAATATTCCAAAGTGTCTAACAATTTTTTTAGAATTTAGCACATCCAAGTATTTTCAATTAATCAGATTACCAAAAGGGTAACTTAAAAATGTTGCAATGGGTCATAATTGGACGGGTCACTTTTAAAGTCCCAACAAGGCTTCTGTAGGAAGCTGCCATCTTGGATCAAACCCAGGCCATGAATTAGCCTTTACTCAAAATGTTTTGTTTTGCAAAGTACATCTGAGATTTATAGGTTAAGGAAGATCAGGGCAAGGGAGACAGAGGGTGGAAAAGAACTGAGCAAGATATGAAATAAGACAAAAGGTATCTTTCACCAGAACAACTGGGAGATGCTTTGGGTTGCAAGGAACAACTTAAAAAGATATTTTAAAATGGTCACAAACAACAGGCCATGACGATACTTTAATTAGCCTCTTTAGCTCATTAGTGGCAAACTGATCCACGGATCTCATCCAGCTGTGTCTTGAAGGAAGACAGGGTATCAGCTTCAAAACCATGGCTGGGTGTCTTGTTCCATACTCCCCTAAAACACTACAAATTAAAAAAGGCTCATATCCCTGAACCTAGAATTCCCTTAAGCTCTGCTGTGTATCTGGTAGGTCTTCTCTGGAGTGATTCCAGAGTAGCAATATTTTTTTCTTTAACATGGTGACAATAATTGTACATTGTATTCTAAATGAATTCTTAGTGTTACTAGTGCCTCATTTTTAAAAATAAAATCCTCTGATCTAAATTATAAACATTAAACAATGTAACTTAGTTTCTTGATTTGTTTCCTCACAATCTCTAAGAAGGTAGAAATGTGTCAACATAAATAATTTCACAAACAGCCTGTTCTGTCGGTGTTTCGTGTTTCGAATTTATATTTTATGTTCTTGCAACCTATAAACAATAAAAACAATTATTAAAAAAATATTTGCTCTTTCTACAGTATTTGATAATCTTTCTATTTTGGTATCATATGTAAGCTTGACTAGGTAACTCACTAGTTTAGCTAATTCTCCATAAGTGATGATACGGGTTGTTACAACCCTTTTCTTAAACCACATAACATTCATCTCCCTTTTCACTTTAGAATTTTAACTATCAGTGACCAACATAACATATTTCTAAAAACAAATTTGGGTAAAGTACAACAAATTGAATTTTTTTTTAAAAAAATCACACAATACTTACTTGGACCTTTACAATCATACCAAACTCCACCATTTTCTTTAGACATTTGCAACAGGTCTTGGAGACGAAAGCATTCAGACTGAGTGGTTTGGAAAAAGATGACAGGCAGCTTTCTGACATTGCACCATTCACAGCAGGAGATTTCAGACGTTTTTAGCGTGATGGTTTGCATCTTATCCACTGTAGAAGCTTATGCAAAAAAAGAACATGCAATAAGTGAATTATAATCATGTTTACCTAATTTGTTTAAACTATCACTAAAATTAAATTCAAATGACAGAAAAATACTTTTTGAATGCTGGCTATATAGGAACTTTCATATATGCATTAATCTGTACAACTACAGCAATCATTTATTACTTCTTCAAACCGATAAACCATAAAAGATTCCACAATTAATACTTAAGATTTACAAAAACATGTAAAACTACTCTGAATTACCCTAATGTTGAACTACCCAAAATGTTATTATCTCCTCATGCAAAACATAGTAGTTACCATGTGCTGTTGCAAGAATAAAAGTCTCAAATTAAAATATGAAACTATGCACATACTGTATGTGCCACAAACGTATCTGGCAGTACATTCTAACCATACTATTATAAAGATCTTATTTTTGGATACTGCCTGGTGTAAGACAAAGTTGAAAAATGTTCATGTAAATTAGTTTTCTTACCTTCTGTTTCAATTTGGATGTAATCAACAGTAAACTAAAATGGAAAAAATATATATATAAATCTGTATTGTAGCAATTTGATATTTTACAGACAATATTATTAATTGTTGCCTCACTTTGATCGATTATTATCTATTTAAGGCTGGAAGAGTTTGGTTCCTGTCTGCTGTTATATGCTTTCACACATATGCATGCTCATGGGCTCCTGTCTCCTTTCAAGTTTGAAACATGAGGCGCTGAACTTTGGCTGCACAAAGGGGAACTGCAGCTTATTAAATCTTAGTAACAAAACAAATTCAATTAGGGTATACATTTTTTTTTACAAATTTCAAATTGCAATCCCCCTAAAATCTTGTCTTAAACCTTACTTTTATACAGTAGCTTGTACTTGCTTAATGCTACGAAATAGTCTTTTAATGTGTATACATTGTGCTTTCATTTTTCTATTGTAAAACACCTTGAGATAACTATATAAAATAAATATTACAATTGTGTTGTAGGACTTTCCAAAAATGATGTAAATGCAGATCACTGTAAAATAACATTTTAATACATGCGTGAAACAAAAAATCATTTTTATCACTTTACAGTAAAGCAAAATGTACAAAAACAAAGAAAAGGCCACTTACAATGACAGGCTTTACCACTGCCTTGCGCAATGTTCCTATTCTTATACTCCGGCAATCCAGAATAATGCTCTCCAGCATGGGGGGCTGTTTGGTACTGTTAGTGGATGTGTTGCTTTGCCCAATTTTTCGCCGTTTGGTGATACTTTTATCAGAAACTACATTTCCAAACTGCAATCAAACATGGGAAAAATTAAGAAAACAGTAGATGATAAATCTGAAATGCACCCAAAAGTACTTACTGAAAATATCAAAAACTATTCTACTGTCTTCTTTGTTGGTAATATTTATCTGTCCTTGTTGTATTATTGAATTGGACTGTGCTTTAAAATAGATTTTCTTTAGGGGAAAATAAAACCTTGAACTTAATGGGAAAAAAACACCAAAAGAATATAACAGACATTTTGATTTCTAAACCTTTTTTGGTTACCACAAAGAGACATCACTGCATGGTGATAACCTCTAACAAAAGCTTCCATAAAATGTACCTGGTCCTTCATCCGTGCTTTTCTTGGTAATGTGATTCTGGCATCTACGTCTGTAAAGTAGTCGTCAGTCAGCCAATCAGGCTGTTCTGTGTTGTCCTTAACTGCCGCCTCCACTTTTCCACCAGAGGGCGCTGGTGAGGAGTGTGCGGAGTCTGCAGGCCTCGGAGAGATGCTGTCCATCCTGTTCACACTGCCTGTGCTGGCGTTGTCTGCCTCCTCCTCCTCATCATCACTAGATAACACAACTGAAAGAGCATGGCAAAAGTCAAGAGGCCAGCAATGACAATAACACCTCACGATACCAAGACAACTTAATGTCCTGCATTCAAGTCAGCCTCAGCATCCTGGAAACACCAATTATTGTGTTTTTGCCTGCATGATAACTAAGGTCCTAGATGATTAACCTTAGGTTTGAGGTGATTATTTCTGCTTGTTCCACCTGCTTTTCAACCTGGCTGTTAACTATGAAAGAGACTGTCTACATCTAAAACAATAGAAAAATAAAAGTTATAACTCTGTTAATAGTGCTCAAGAAATCAACAAAATGCTGGGTTCCTTATTTCTCTGTGTCTTAAAGTTTACTAACCTATATTAATGGTGCCATTGATAACTCAAATATTGTAAAGCTTGTAAAATTATCAATGAAATCTGGTGAATTTTTCCCACATTGAGATTGGAACTATTCGTTTTTAATGTTTCACCATTAGTTTTCACACATTTAACAGAACATTATTTAAGTGTCACAGTTGGCATAACTGTTCATGAGCTTAGTCAAAAACACCACTAATCTACTTATTTATGTTGCTAAGGCATCTTTTTGCAAAGAGCATGACCTGTCCTTTCACAGTATACATCTTCCATGCACTAAAATGAAATAAAGACCTTATTAAGATAAGAATTCAACAACTGAGTGCAAAGGAGAGCACCACAAGATTAAGAAAATATTTAAGATTAGTACTGTTTAATATAAGATTCATGTATATTACAGCCATGCTGTGGTGCAGCTACAGGCACAGGCAGCTCTCAGACTTGTCTCAATGTGGCCTGTGGCTGCATGACTTTGAAAGTCCTATTATGTACCCTGGGGAATGGAAGACAAACAATGAAAGGAAGGTAATAACATGTAAGGCAAAGTGGGTACTCCTAGCACAGTTCTTCCTGATGCAGCACTGCGAAAACCACGGCTAGTGCCTTCACACTAACAGCTGACTCCTCAACTATGCACAGTAAGACTGACATGCAAGCGACCAGCCAAAAGAAAAAGATCTCTCATACAAGGAAGTACCAAACCCCAACTACTAACAATCATTTACTGTAGCCTGAAGGGGCATTCACACCAGAGGTGGCATGACAAGAAGCAACTTTATTCTGAATGAAAATGATAAGGTATGTTGCAGTGGAATAGGAGTTATTTTGTTTTCAACTTCTGCCATACTACGCTGCAAACAAAACAGTGTACTTCTGTGGCTAAAGGCAGGTTTGAATTTAAATGGAGGAGGATTGAAGTCTAGTGGTGCCAAAGCTCACCAAAGTGTTCTTTAAACATTTAACAGGAAGTCAACAGGAAATTTGCACTATGGAAGGCAGTAAGCACTCATGCATACCAACCGTTTTAACTGAAATATCTACATAGATCTTAAACGAAAGGGTTATAAAAATGTAAAAATAAATTTAGATACAGGTCTGCCTGATTCTAAAAATACACTAGATTTAAATACATTGGATTTTTATCCTGTTTTATGTAGGTAATCTGCAGGGGTTTTAAACTTCCGTGCATGGAAGAAATAGAAAATACAGCTCATTAACACCATGCTTCATATTTTGTTTAAAAGCAAAAAAATATCAAAGGGCTTTTCACAACCAATAAGAAGCAGGCAGCATATGCTTATGCTTTGCTGAACTCCACATTGACAGTAATCAATCACGAATCCCGACAGCACAATCAATCCTTGAATCCTTTACTTAAAACCACTTTAAAACCACTACAAAATCCAAGTTAGTTACAGAAGACAGGGTAGAGTCTTGTTTCAAGTACCAATTTCTTTTAAGGTATACTAGTTCAGATAAGCACTTCCAACTTGTAGTTATCATGCACCCAAAGACAAAAAAAAAACGTCTTACTCGGATCATTCAGTTCATGCTGCTTGGTTTCCATCTGTCTCTTGCCTTTTGAAATCTTTGCTACAAGGGGACTTGTTCCTGTCACCAACGGTGCTCTCCCATTGGAGATTAAAAGATTACTCCTAGTTACGCGCACTGGGGGAGAGGATCCTACATCCACTTGAGACGCTTTAATTGTCAATGAGGAGCTAAAGGCATTCTTGCTCAGTAATAGGTGGTTTGGTCCTGAAGAATGCCGGCGAATGGAAGGTCGGGACAGCGGGGATGCAGTTCCAGCTAAATTAGTACTGGTTTTGAGGCTGCCTGCCGAGTCCTGTGCAAGTATGTTCCCACAGTTTTCACACTTGACGTGATCTTCACTTGGCTTGCCACACTTCCCACAGACGGTAAGGTACTCATGGGGATCCAGTGTCTACAGAGAAAGATCAATACAAGTTAAGAGCATTTTGACTTAAAAAAAAATGTTTTGTTTTGTTTTTTAAATACAGGTTTCGTGTTCTGATTATGGTAGATTTGATTATGGGATTTGATTACTTATTTTGGAAGAATGCTTCTCTGATTCCTGAACTTTTTTTCTTGTGGTTCAGTAGAAAGAGCCCCGTGTGTCTCTGTGTCTCTCTTCTGGGAGTGAAAGCACAGTGGGCAGGCAGGTCTGCTTGTGTTGCCCAGTTTCTATAGCCAGGCTGAACTCACTGCAACATGTTTTGTGCTCTAACTCGGTTTACTTTTATTGTTGGTGTTTAAGTGTTCAGGGGATTATGTTAATGCTTTCTGTTGAAACTACACAAAAAGCAACACATCTTTAAATTCATGTTAAATACAACTAAGCTATACAGAATGCAATTTCATTTCTATATATATACCAATAATTTAGAGTGGGAAAATACATTCTACCATTCTTTTTTTAAAGAATTATTTTGAAGGATCACCATTTGAAGGACCATGTGGTAAATCTTGTTTCTTTTCTTTACTTTTATTACATTGTCTATAGAAAGCAAATATGAGCCAAAGGAAACTAAAGCTTTATTTTTTTCAAAAACATTTCCAAAAGTTACTTTTACGTATGTCACACAGAACCAAAATTAAATATTAGTAATATATAACTAATAGTAGTAATGCTAGCCTTTCTTTTTTCCTCTCACTACAGCTCATTAAGGTAGCCACAGCAATACTGCCTTGACTATAGGCAAATCTCCACGTCAACACCCATCTCCCATTTCTCACTTAACGCCTACACTTAGCTTTGTTGGTACTGAACCAGTTAAACCTAGCATTAAACAGTTTGCTTTAGACTCACCTCCACGTTTTTAGTTGATGAAACAAAACTTATCAAGTCCTCAGATGAAGCCCGGCGCTTCTGTTGGGTTTGCCTTTTTATTTCCCCTTCATGAACCATACTGTTTGCTTCTGAGAAAAACAGATAACATTTATTCCATAAGTTGCACACCCCGAATTTATTATTTAAAATAATGTATGGTATCATACGTTTTTTTAATTTATTTTAAGAAGTTAAAGGCATCAATGTGCTTGCTTTGGTTCCCACTCATGGGTGTATGTTCAACATATTTTTGCTGGAAGTTTGAAGCTAAGGATGCAACCTGATTAACCTGTTTATCACTGTTTCTAATTGCCCAGTTTTAATTAATTAAAGGAAATTGTTTATAAATATCTGTATTTGGCACTGACCTTGCTGCAAGAGAACTTATAAAATCGAATTGTCTGTCCTTTTTTGACAATTTCTTACAATAAAACATATGGTCATATTTTTTCTTAAGTCAGCAATGTCCTAGCATAATTGAGAAAACGTGAAGGACAGTCTCTGTAGCTGTCAAATCTATCTACTGCATAATCTTATTAGAATTAGTTTTGCACCCAGGAGGGGGGTTTACATCAGTGGTAGATAAAAGTCCCCTCCCCTCCACATATATAAAGCACTTTAACATTTAACGATTTTAGTGATTTTGAAGAGCTATGAAAATGCAAGGATTTATTTCATTTTGGATAGTGTTTCTCCTCTGTACATCAGCTTTGATGCTGCAGTTATGAGTATATTATATCTCAGGAACCAGTAAAAACGATCTACATAGTATACTACAAGGGTTATTCTGCAGAATTATTTGTCTCCCATAAGATCAGATGCTATATTTTACCTCATTAAATAGTGCCCTCCCCAAAGGCACCGGAATAGCAAAGATAAAACTAAATTAACATGAACAATCAGTACAAAATAATATGCTTTGCCTTGATAAAAATGTGACTACATTTGAAACTGATGCTGCAGGATAAACGCGAATCTGCAGAGGGCTGGCAGTACTTGAACCAGTGAAAGCTAGAAAGTCATGACTGAATGCACGCCAGCAAGCATGCTTGTTTCTGATCATTTCTCACTGAACAGACACATCCAGGACAGGAGCACAGGATAAGCGACCAAAAAACATTTAATAGTTACAGTTTACCTGTCGTTTCTGGACAGGTGAGGATTATGCTGTCTAACTCTAATCTTTGGATCTGCGGTGGGTATTCTTTTCTGTGGGAAAAATGGGAAGACTTTATGGTAAAAATATTTTATCACACAACATGATCAATTATTTTTCAATGGATAGCTGCACTATTCCTTGAAATAAATATTCAAGGCTATTAATGTGGGAAAAACTCAAAATACAGGTAAATTAACATCCAAAGCAGCAATGCCAGTGTAAAAAAAAAAATTACACATTGTAACCTACATCATAGCCCATTTGGCCACTTTGTGACTTTTTTGAAGTATTTCAGAATTCAATTTCCATGTGACAGTGAAAGAATGGAAGAAGACAATGCAAGAAATGTAATCTATTTTTTCAAATTTATTAAAATGTTATCGACACATGAAGAATCCAATGAAACAACCAATGAAATGGTTCTAAAAAAGCAAAAAAGCCATGCCATACAACAGGGATGATAATGATTTTTTGCAATTATGTATAGGTGGCGAAGCCATGGTAGATAGTTATCACCACAAGTTATACGAAAAAAGCCATTACATAAAGCATTTTTTTTCAGCTTGCAACAAGCTTGCTTCATAATCAGTCTTACCTCTCTTTCAGGTCAAGGCTGCTTAAGAAGGAAAAAAGAAATGCGTAAGAAACTAAACCCAGAAAACATGTCAAAAACTCCCATTTACCTTCAAAATGTTTAGCTCAACTTGACCACGACACAAGCAAGACTTTGAGCAAAAGTCTAGGAAAACCTGGCCATACCATTTTTCCCCACATTGCTTCTCTAACACAAAAATTAATTGGCAAAACAAAACTGTGATACAATGCATGTAGTTAGACAAGGCTAAGTCATAACTGGAAAACCTCAATGAGCAATCCTTCATCACAACGTGAATTCTCCTTGGAGTAATGAATTATTAAGAGACAGCTTTTTTACAGCTGATATTCATCTCCAATGATTCAATGGAGATAAGCTTTTAAGTGATATACACTGATGTGGCAAAATTGTAACAAAAGGACTTTTCTTAAGGTTTTATAAGCATTCGTACATTAGGCTACCTCTAATCATATTTACAATCGTTTCTTTCATGCTGTTGTTCAACACACGGTCATTCATTACCTATCAAGCATATATACACCAGTGCGTGTGCATATCAGTAGTATTTGAAGCTACAAAAATGTTTTAAATCAAACCATAAGATACAGATACTCTGGACATATTTTAAATGGAAGCAACATCATATTTTGTTCATTATATTCTGTAAACAACACAATTAAATTTAGTGCAAATATGGACAGAAGGTCCACATTGAAATCAGAAAATTACAACATTCCCCCACAATGATCAAAGCACAACAAATGACTTGAGGGTGAACATGCCACAGCGGTCCTGCGCACAAGGGGAGTTCCTCAGTTGTTTAAGAACTGAGAACACGTTGTCCATAATCATGGTGACGAACCACTGTGTACTGAAAATTCTCAAAGGCATGGACGCAGTTCACTCAATTGACTTCTTCAAAATCAACAGTGAAACACAAGCCATGGGACATAAACGGGAATTAAGGGGACATTCATTACATTCCAAGATCTTTTAAAATGATGAACGTAAGGCATGTTTTTTCACAGGGTTGTAAAAGCTCTCTTGACATGCTGTTGAAACTATTACCTTTGCTTCCTTCAAAAAAAGGCTAGATAAATCCTTGGATTAGCTACTACACAGCATCTACAGGACCAATATATTTTGTAGAACAAAACTGAATTCTTATTTGTTGGGAGGAAAGAAAAAAATAGATTAAAGAAGATTTTGCTATGTTACATTTTTTATAATTTGCTAGACTTATTTAAAGAGGAAATTTAGAGGAAATCAAAAGTTATGCCAACTTTTAAATGTAGCCTCCTTAAGCAAACTTGTAAGCAAAATCTCGATTGCCTCTATATGCCTATTGCCATAACTGAAGCCGAAACACTAGTGCAGAAACAAATATTTTCAAAAACACACCAGGGGTTTTACTAACAGCTCACTAACAGTAATGTTAGATCTTAAGAACAGAAAAATCTTTTCACCTTTTGTCTCAGAGCCTGATCCGGTTTAAAGCCTGCAAGCTTCACCCTTCACAACGTCAATTAGGGAAACACCACATGCCCTTCAATCTATTTCACTGCAGTACTTTTAATATCACCACTCCATCACCCCCACCGATTTTCAATTACATTCTTAAAGGGGAACTGCAGTCCCAATTTCTCAGACTGGTTATTAAATCTCAGTAACAAAATAAATTCATTGACTTGATAGAAAGATTTTACCAATCTTGAATTAGGCACAAAAACTGTGAAAGTAGTATGAGTCGCCATGTTGACGCAAACCCCTGGTCTCGCCAATCACGAGGGTTCCCATGAATCTTGACATGACGTGGCCCTTCCTGTTCACTAGTCACTGCATTAACTATTTATTCGCTCGTAAATCGCATTACATTACAGGTTGCGCAGATATTTCATCTCAAAGTTTCCAATGTGATTTGCATGCAGAGTTAACAAGTAGCAGTTAGTCGGCAAAACCATCTTGAAGTGGAGAGCAATATTTCTATTGGATTAGAAGACACGTCGCCACAAGCCTGCTTGTTTACAACTTGACAACGTAATAAGACTCCAACACGTCACCGGAAGTCTTGTCGCCACATTCTGAATTGCACAATAGGGCGCTGTGCATGCCTGGAGAGTCCGGCTATTGTGCAATGTAAATTGGAGGTTTTACAAGTTACTGTGTACATTTAACTTTTATTGTGGTTTGAAATGCGCTCATCAATGCTGATTCTTTCGCAACAATATGAAGTTCATCAAACTTACTTGAGGACTGAAGAAGAAAAATTACAAAAGTGACCCAAAACAGCTTCTAACTAAAGGTCAAGCTAACAATGTCCGATAAACAATTTCCTTAGTTCAACACCTCTGTAAGATGTATGTTTTAGCAGTCCTAAAATAACAATAAGGTAATTGAAAAGTGTTTCTCTTTAGTCTCTCAGGTGCAGTATACAAATAGAACAGCAGACAGGACAATAGACAGAAATACAATAACAATAACAGTGTAAACAACAGTATGGTGCCAGTGCAAAATTGTCAATAACCGTGCAAATACACAGAGAAAGTACACAAACAGGACAAAAACAGTGCAAAAGTAATACTGTAAGTAATAAGAATTACTTGTCTAACTATAAATTTGTCATTGCTGTGCTTCAGAGATTCCATACAGGGTAACAATAACATCAATAACAATTGCTTGTGTTTGTTTAGCAATTCCCAAAGGGTCATTAAGCATTACTCTACATACAATATAGAAGGGTATCCTCTTATCCATCACAGTATACCCATACGGCCTGCCTTTTTCTATGGAAGGGGAAAATCTGTCATGATCTCAGAATGAAGTGAGTGATCACTACTGGCTTCTCTCGCTCTTCTCCCTCTCTTTTTCCTTCACTCTAGCTTTGTAAGTTTTTATTTAATGTATTGAACTGCCCAACTAAAAAGTTACTTTGTATGAAAAAAAACACAACAATGTTAAATAAGAATTCAAGTACCTAATTATAGGAAACATATACAATCTGTCTGTGAAGAAACATCACATGCAAAATGCATTGACCAAAGATCGAGGGCGATATCAAAATGTGCTTTAATTGAAATGTGTTACAATGCCTATAGAAATTCTACACCCCCTTCCACAATTTTCACCTTTTTTTTTGCAATCATACCACAATACTTCAAAGTGAAAAAATGTGCAAGAAATGCATAGGAAATTAATTAAAAATAAAAACTGATATGGCTGGGTTGGAGTAGAGGCCACCATCCTTTTAATAGCAATGTTAAAATAACTCAGGTATAGCCAATCTCCTTCCAAATACCTCACCAAGTCAACTGGCCTCCACCTGTGTTAATCTCTAGTGATTTCAGGATAAATTCAGCAAATCCTGTATGTTTCCACTGCAGAGTAGTACATTTCAAAGCGAAGAATCAATCATGAGAAACAAGGAGCTTTCAAAACAACTCCAGGACAAATAAAATGTGGAAGATGTACTGTATGGCACCACCAAGACCTTGCATAGATCAGTCGGTCCCTCCAAACTGGACGACTAAGGAAGAAAGAGATTGATCAGAGAAGCCAATATCAATTTTGAAAGGCCTACAGGCTTTTACGTGTACAGGTGACAACAATATCCCAAGCACCATAAATATGGTCTGCATGGCAGAATGTCAGGAAGGAAGCCATTTCTGACAAAAGCAGTGGCAAAGCTTTAAAGTGATACTATAAACATGGGACAAAAAGTTCTGTGGTCTGGCAAGCCCAATATAGCATATCACCTAATGAACACCACCCCTATTTTGAAGCATGGTGGTGGAAGAAACACGTTATGGAAATATTTCTCATCAGAAGGGACTGAGGCACTCAAGATAGAAGAGAAAACGAAATGGAGAAAAAAATACAGAAAAGTCCTCGAGGAAACCGTTGTGAAACGACGGACAGACTTTCAGCATGACAACAACCCAAAGAACAAAGCCAAAGCTACATTGTAGAACAGCTAAAGAACAAAAAGTTAAATGTTCTTGGGCACCCCAGTCTAAACCCAATTGAAAATCTGGAGCATTACTTGAAACAGCTGTCCAATGATGCTCCCCAGGGAACCTGACAGCAACAAGGCATGTTTGTAAAGAAAAAACTGCCAGATATTGCTGATTCTCGGTGTGAAAAGTTGGTAGAAACCCATTCCAACAACCAAAGGCACTTCCATCCAGTATGAGGTCAGAGGGGTGGAGATGTATCCATTCATCGATCTGTCCAGTTTATTTTTAATATAGTTTTTTGTCAATAAAAACATTTTCCATTTTAAAAGCTTGGAGTATGGTGTGTAGATAAAAAGGGAAAACGCTCATTTAAAGAAACTGAGGATCTAAAATAATTAAATGTGTAAAAAAAGTAAGGGGATGTAAACTTTCTACAGGCTCTGTATATACTAAATATATTCATTCATATGCCTTACTTTGAAAACATCTAAAACAGGCCAAGAGGAAACATAAGGAAAAAAACAGAACTCACCTCTGAGCAGCAGTTTTTACAACTGGCGCTGGTGCGTTGGCGTGCTGGAAGTATCGTCCGTGCAGAAAGACACTCCGGGGAGCTGACGGACTGAGAATGAAATAGTTAGTTCAACTGGCAGCTGAGAGGGTTATGACCTGGGGGTTTTCGCTTCTAATGCCCAAAGAAAAAAATACTCTGGCCAATTAACAGAATTATCTTGGATTCATCACACGCACAAACAGATGCAACATTTTATACGTTGAAACATTCAATATTTTTTTAAGCGTGTGACTGGCATCACTGTAAGGCAGAAGAATAATGGAATTTATAAACGATTTAAAATACAATATACCCAAGTTTCTTGCCAGCTCCCAGCATATTCAGACCAAAGGCATTTCCTTTGAAGGACCTCAAATGATTATTTGGCCTTCTTTCATATGTTTTCAGGGGCTCGCCAGTGCAAAAATGTTTCAGCGGTGTAGGCTGTTGAAAAAAGGAAGAGAAGATAATTTTATTAAACAATCAAAACATGTAGCATTAACTGCTCCATGTGAAAATAACTAGTTACTGTTTCACAGAACAGTTACTACCCATAAGAACCTCCAATCCTACAGTACGTGCTCATAAACACTACAAACCTTAGTATCCTGTATTTTTGCTTTCCTGAGAAAGGAGATCTAAAAAAAGCTGGGTATCAACCTCAAGGCCCGCGGGCCAACTTTTGCCCCCAATAATATATAGATTATATTAATATTAATATAGATGGACTGGTTAAAAAAAAAAGACTACAGGAAGATATACTGTCTGGAACACTGACAACATATCACTGCATTCTAAACCTTAAACCTTCCAAAACCAAAGGTGTTGAAGACTGTGGAACTGACATGATAACAAGAACTAATAATCTTTTGAAAGATAAGAGTTTAAATCACATACAATTCCTGTCATTTCCTGAGGAGCTCAATAAAGAATATGGCTCTTTACCTTGTCACACAGAGGTCTGCTAGCTTAGTCATCAAACAGTGCTTAAAACTGTTCAGGCTAAATGCAGAACTCTTATGCGAAACAGAAGGAGAAAAGGATCAGTTCTCAGATGAAAGCTGCCTGCACTATTGAGTATTTTTTTGTAATATAATGGAGTGCCTTCACATTTTAAATCTGAAACTGTGAGGCAGCAAACGGGTCACAGCAGAGGTGACCTCGTACGTGTGAGAAGCAAATGCAGTAAGGCAACGTTTCACCATTCCCTGTTCGCCAGGCCATCCCTAACTCCCTCGCAAATGTCACCTTCCCAAGTACATGATTCAATGCAAACCAGAACATTCTGTACACAGAATGTGAGCTGTTCTTCTCTCATTTTAATAACAATATGGTTTCCAGCTCTTTTCAGATCCATGTGATGTAGACAGTGCTGCAGAAAAAGTTCAAATAGAGCAAACTGAACTTGTGGAAAAGCCTGATTCAGCTGGAGCTGCCCAACTTTACCACTTCCTACTAGTCATTTTTCCCATGGTCTGTGCCTTCAGCCTGCCTGGATCCTCTTTTGACATCACATGTGCAAGCAGCTGTCTTTGTTGATGAAAGATTATGACTGAATGACATCTATACAACTGATGCTTCAACCTACCATGCCTCCAGTCATATAAAAAAAGGCACGCTGTCTCCTGAACCATCAACAAATGAACAAAGAAGCAAACAGTTAAGGTACACATTTTGAATTACTGTATTTACCAGAATATGAGCCTGTCCTGAATATAAATAACACTCAGAAATTTGGGCTGTGGACATTGATAAAAAGTTTACAAAGCACAAGTTGCCTTTCTGCACAGAAAGGTTGCAATTAAAACACTGCTTTAAATAAATTAAGGAAAATGGAGAGGAGCTTTAAAGACAATGCAAATAATACAGTAAACTTTCTAGTAACCAAGAGGAACAGGATATAATAATTATCTGGATAGACTACATTAAAGCAAACCGAAACGCAATGTCGCTTAGCCTAAAGCACAACGATCAGGACAACACCACAGTGATCAAACCCACCCTTCCTCACGAAACACAGACACAGGACGCTTTGAATTCTTGAACTGGAATGTGTAGCTCCCATGAGGGCTTTAAAGTCTATCATATCTGTTGTGGTCACGAATCCACTTCAAACTGCCTTCCAGCCTGACCATTCCCATGCCCCTCAGCACACAGGATCACCTCTGTCTTGAATGCAGACCCCAATGTACCCCAATCTCTTGTTTATTTTGGATAACAAATAATAAATCGAATTTTTTTTAATCACTCAATCTTACCAACATGCCAAAACCAAGAAAAATGGTGGTTCAACACTGTTCAGCAACCAGATCAACTTCTAATTTTTTTTTGTTTGTATTCATATATATAAGCTGCAGGCCAAATGTACCACTCTGAAATTGACCAAATTTTGGCTTATATTGGGTAAATACAGTATTTCGACCATATAAAAAGTAATATCTCAAGATCAATAGTATGTTTTATGAATCATTCCATATCTAACTATACAATTACTTTTATTCAAAGTGTGTGTGTGGGGAGGAGTTATCAAATACAGTGCCTTGCGAAAGTATTCGGCCCCCTTGAACTTTTCAACCTTTTGCCACATTTCAGGCTTCAAACATAAAGATATAAATTTTTTATTTTATGT